ACTAGAGCAACTTCCATCAATAGACGTAAAGGATTCTGTTTGTAAATCTCTTCGTCTATCCCCAACCTTTCTTCGATCGCACTGTGCGAAGAAGATAATTTGGTCAATGATTGTTTCGGTTGATCATTATTATCTTCCACATCGCTTTTCGATGAATCAATCGCTGACTCGTTCCGTTGCGCGTCGTTATTATTATTATTATTATTCTCGATCTGAGTTGCAAGCAGCAAATTGTCGAGTAGATTTGTCCGCGGATGTTCATAAGATTTATTGACGGTGTCTGCAACGGCACAAGAGGATTCACCTTGTTCCTTCTCGTATTGGCGTGTTTTCTTGATAGAAATGGATTCTGAAGATTCGGTAGTTTCATTCGTTCTTTTGGTACCATGCGGTTCTCCTATAACCGCTTCATTATTGTTTAGTGATGTTTCTTTTGTATCTGTTTGAAGTTCGTTGCTATCGTCTGATTTTTTAAGATCTTCGAGATCGTTTGTCAAAGACTTTTGCGCAACCTTTTTTTCTGAGGAATCAGAACGATCTTCGTGATCGTTAGACTTTTCATCTTCGTCTTCATCAGAATTCTCAACTGACCGTTTTTCTTCCACATCTTCTTTTTCTTCTTGCAGTGCCCTAAGCATTTGTCCAAAATAATCAAGCTTGACGCCATTTTTCGGTAGCTTGTGTAATGCATCGTTCAGGTAAAATTCTGGGTCACAATCAATCTGGAATTTTTTTTGTGGTGGATGTTCGATGACAGTGTTATCGATAGAAGATAAATTATTTTCAGAGGCTAATCTTCGCAGTGGAGGCTGTGTAGATAAAGAAAGAGGCTCTATAAATCAGGATTGCGTGAGGAGTATTACAAGGAATGCTGTTAATCTAATCACCAGTGCATGATCCACATGACAAGGACACATCCATCTCTTGTTAGGTGGCGCGGGAATCACCAGTGGGGGATCTAAACAATCGAAATGCCAATGAAGATCACAGTAATCGCAAGACATGACAAGTTTCGCCTTGCTTGGTGGAAGCTTGCAAGAAAAACAACGAATAAGCTTTCCGTTTTCATCTAAGATACGGGTATGATCAGGTTCTAGTAGGAATCCATTTCGACTTAATGTAAATGATCAAACCATTTTTTATTATTATCAGAGAAATATCATCAACACAATATTGAATTAAATAAGGATAAATAAGTTGATCTATCGCTTACTCTCTTTGTTCAGGCTTTACTTTGTTCAAGTCAATGTATTCTCCATGAGAACCGGTGCCGACTATTTCACGAACAGAAAAAAAAAAGATGACATCAAAAGATTCTTAAATATAGTGAATAATCAGATCAAGTGAGATCCGGACAAACCATCTTCGAATGCATAACGAATGTGATCAGGTAGTGAAAAAGATTTGGGATTCGAGCAACGTGCTTTATATATTAGTTCCTGGAAAGGGCCTTGTGCTGGCATCGATGGTGATACCTGAATTCAAAAAAACGCGAAAAAACACGGTTTATAGAAAAATCATCATCAGGCTATTTTTTCAATATCAAAGATAATTCAATTTCAATGTCATCTGTCGTAACAGACCTTATCAGAACTGCATTCTCGACAATACCAATTACCTTTTGGAGGATTGTCAACATCGAGGGGAGGCACCAGGCACGTAAAATGAAACGCCTTCGGACAAGAGTCACAACACATCAGGCGTCCTCCATAGCCACACGCATCACATTGATCATGATTATTCTATTGTGTGTGATAATTTTTAAAGGTAATAATTATTTAGTAGTGCTCCGTCGAAAAATTATCCACGCAATGAGAAACATTTTGTATGATAAGAATTATCATTGGTTTTATACCTGTGTAGTACTTGCTCCAACTGCCGCCAACGCGCCTCTTGTGTGAATGATATGTCTCGGTGTCGGTGAACCCGAGGGTGAATTTGTTGAGGGAAATACGCTACTATAATTCGAAACAGTGAGTCAGATAATGATA